ATCAAGGAAATTGGTCTTTAGTTCTCTTTCTCTGTTGTATTATATTCAGGTTTAGGAATAAAGATGATGATGCTTGCTTCATAGAAGGAGTTTGGGATTATTCCTTCCACTTCAATTGTTTTGATTTACTTTAGAAATATTAGAGTGAGTTCTTCTTTAAATGTCTGGTTGAACTGACCAGTGAAGCCATCTGGTCCTGGGCTTTTCTTTGCTGGGAGGATCTTTATTACTGATTCAATTTCTGACTCGGTTATGGATCTGTTTAGGTTTTCTTATGTTTTCTTAGCTCAATTTAGATAGGTTGTATGTGTCCAGGAATCTATCCATTTCTTCCAGGTTTCCCAGTTTGTCGGCACACAGCTCTTTGTAGTAATTTTTGATGATTATTTTATTTTTGTGGTGTCTATTGTTACATTTTCTTTTTCATTTCTAATTTTTTTTATTTGGGTCCTCTCTCTCTCTCTCTCTCTTTGGTTAATTGGGCCTTGGTGTGACAATTTTATTTACTTTTTCAAAAAAACACCTTTTCATTTTTCTGATCTTTTGTTTGTTTTTTATTTTTTTTTTTGGTTTCAATTTTGTCTATTTCTTCTCTAATTATACTTATTTCTTTTCGCCTGCTAATTTTGGTTTGATTTCCTGTTGTTTTTCTAGGGTCTTGAGATGCATTGAGAAATCATTTATTTGGTGTGTTTCCAATTTCTTTTTCTTTTTTTTTTTTTTTTTTTGAGAGGCAGAGTTAGATAGTGAGAAAGAGAGAGAGACAGAGAGAAAGGTCTTCCTTTTTCCATTGGTTCACCCCCAAGTGGCCGCTATGGCCAGTGCATTGCAGCTGGCATGCTGTGCCAATCCCAAGCCAGGAACCAGGTGCTTCCTCCTGGTCTCCCATGTGGGTGCAGGACCCAAGGACCTGGCCATCCTCCACTGCACTCCCGGGCCACAGCAGAGAGCTGGACTGGAAGAGGAGCAACCGGGACAGGATCCAGCACCCCAACTGGGACTAGAACCTGGGGTGCCAGCGCTGCAGGTGGAGGATTAGCCTAGTGAGCCATGGCACCAGCCCCAATTTATTGATGTAGGCATCAATTGCTATAAAATTTATTTCTTCACACTGCTTTTGCTGTAATCTATAGGTTTTGATATGTTGGATTGCCATCTTCATTCATTTCCAGAAATTTTTATTTCTCTTTTGATATCCTCAATGACCCACTGTTCATTCAGGAGCATGCTGTTCAGTCTTCATGTGTTGGCATATGTTCTAGAGATTCTTGAGTTTTGACTTTGAGTTTCATTCCACTGTGGCTAGAGAAAATGCATGGCATGATTTCAATTTTTGGAATTTGCTGACTTGCTTTATGATCTAGTGTGTAGTCTATCTTAGAGAAAGTTCCATGCACTGGTGAGAAGAATGTGTATTCTGCTTCTGTAAGATTTAAAATTCTGTAGATATGTTAGGTGCATTTGGTCTATTGTATCAATTAACTCTTGTTTATTTCACCTTCATTCATAAATGAAATCTCTGCATGGTATAGTATTCTGGCATGGCAGTTTTTTCTCTTAAGACTTGAAATACATGTCACCATTCTCTCCTAGCATGTAGGGTTTCTGATAAGAAGTCAGCTGTGAATCTAATTGGAGATCCTCTGAAAGTAACCTGGTATTTCTCTCCTACATATTTTAGAATCTTTTCTTTATGTTTTACTGTTGAGAGTTTGACTACAATGTGTCATGGTTAGGATCTTTACTGTTCATGTCTATTATGAGTTCTGTGTTCTTCTTGTACTTAGATTTCCCTTTCTTTCTCCAAATTAGGAAGTTTTCTGTAATTATTTCACTAAAAAGTCCTTCTAATCCATTCTCTTTCCAAGCCTTCAGGGACTCCTAAGATCCATTTGGTGGATTGCTTGATAGTACCCCATAAATCTCCAACACTGTTTTTTTGTTTTCTAATTTGTTTATTTTTTTTTTTGGTCTAAAAATTCTAACTCAGATATTCTTTCTCTGCCTCACTGAGTCTGTTCTTAAGGCATTCCAACATATTTTTATATATTCTTTTGAATTCTTCATTTCAAATATTTCATTTTGAATTCTCTTTAAAATCTCAATTTCTTGGGAAAAATTCAAGTCATGTACAAATTTCTTTAGCTCATGAATTTGCTTCTGATTACTTCTAAGTAATCCTACCAAATATTTTTTGAATTCCAATTATAGCATTTCAGCAATCTCTTCATCTTCCCATTCTAGGATTGAAGTGTTGTGTTCTTTATGAGGAATCATGTTTTCTTACTTATTCTTGTTTTTTGAATTGCTGTGTTTATTATTAGACATTTGTTAGTACTTGTTGGATTTTTACTCTTATGATGGCTTTTATTTTGAACCACGCCTCTGTGTTTTAAGCTATCTTCCCCTAGTTATGGATCTGTTTAGGTTTTCTATCTTTTCTTAGCTCAATTTAGATAGGTTGCATGTGTCCAGGAATCTATCCATTTCTTCCAGGTTTCCCAGTTTGTTGGCACACAGCCCTTTGTAGTAATTTTTGAAACTCCCTCCCTGTTGTGCCATCTTGGAAACTCACCTGACATTTTCTAAATGGACTGAAATTGCATATCACATTGAAAAATTACATCAAATGAGCCGGCGCCGTGGCTCAATAGGCTAATCCTCCACCTTGCGGCGCCGGCACACCGGGTTCTAGTCCCAGTTGGGGCGCCGGATTCTGTCCCGGTTGCCTCTCTTCCAGGCCAGCTCTCTGCTATGGCCAGGGAGTGCAGTGGAGGATGGCCCAGGTGCTTGGGCCCTGCACCCCATGGGAGACCAGGAAAAGCACCTGGCTCCTGGCTCCTGCCAGGATCAGCGCGGTGCGCCGGCTGCAGCGGCGGCCATTGGAGGGTGAACCAGCGGCAAAGGAAGACCTTTCTCTCTCTGTCTCTCTCTCTGTCCACTCTGCCTGTCAAAAAAATAAATTAAAAAAAAAATTACATCAATTGTTATGTAGGATATAACCAGTCGGTTCAGAATGTAGAGTTGGTTAAAATTTTCAAGGTGAACAGTATAATTTCTAGAAGGAATTAGAGGAATCTGTGTGGTCTTAGAATAAGAATAGATCCTTAATATAGAATATAATAAAGGAAATTATAGTAGAAAGCATGAAAATGAAAGAGGTTTAATGAACACAACACAAGAAGATGGATCAAAGATGCATCTTTGATCAACAGCTTATTCTAGAAGGATGCCCACTAGTCAGGTACTGGGAGCATACCAGTGGCCTGGATGAGAATCATTCATGGGATGGCCGTTAGAAGCTCCATCCAAAGACCTCTCTCAGAGTCTGTGTGAATCTGCCCCTTCCTTATATCTGTATTGATCCTAGATTGGGAACTTGGAGTTTCTGTCCTAAAGGGAGTTTGAGGTGAGCTTGTAGGGGAAGCTTTGCTTTAGGTGAGTGAGAGCTGATTGTGTGCTGTGGTGGTCTTGTCTGCTGGGTTTCTCTGGGCCAGAACTGGAAATCTTCAGCCTGTGTTGTGTCCTACAGCTGAGGGATAGGGAGTGTAAGCCCTGCCAGACCTCCAGGGGGCCTGTAGCTGTCACTGACCTAACAGCCAGGGTTTGTCTCCTGTAGTGTCTACACACAGGGACATGCACATTAAATGAAATAGACTGTGAAGTTAACGCACTTTGTTTTTCTTTTAGCATTGCTTTGGATTTCCTAGTTTATACTTTTTCAATCCACTACTTAGTAGAAGACAAATATAATTTGAGTTTATATCTGTATGTGTGAATACACAAACACATTGAAACACAAGTGTATAATGTCTGTACACATGCAAATACAAACACATACACACACACAGAGGGAAGGCAAGAGCGAGAGCAAGAGAGAGAGAAAGAAAAGAATGTCTCTCACATATTCAAGGTTAGTGGAAGGCTCTGCAATAGAATTATTTTCTCACCTATGAGATGAGGGAGTACACTATGGAACCTTTCTCTTATGAACACGCCCAACCTACCTTTTCACTAAATTGCTCCCTCAACAGATCTCACCTCCATGCCATGATATCCTAGAGCATGTGCTCTGTTTGTAGGCAATACTGGCTTGGTGTTTTTTATAAGCAACAGAACTTACATCTGTGCTCTGCGGTGTCCACTCAAGGTCAAACTGGTCATTGGTACGTGAATATGTTCAAAGTAACTGATCTCCGTCATAGTATCTGATTTCAAAGGACTCTATCCCCTTAGAAGTGATTCACAGGAATCCCTTATGGTTCTCAAGGCTACTGCTCCAGGAAACTGAGTTTTCCCACCACTAAATTCCATGCTATTCATTACACCCTGGGGTCTTTCTTCATTTCTGTGTTTTGGTGCACTGATGAAATGGTGCCCCTGCTTTGTGAAGCTTGTGCTACATTCCCATAATTTTCTAATTACTGACAAATTCAGGTGACACTTATGAATTCTCCATAATCACCATATTTCTTTGTGAATCTCGGAATATGAATAACATTTCCATAATATAGAAATTAATGTGATAATTACACAATAATTAATTCATAATAATTTATCAGTTTATTCCTTATTTTAGAGCAGAAATTCAGGCAGTCTTCTTGACCAAACTCTGATATAGGGACTGCTTCCAGAAACATAGTTAAAATCTCAGGGTCACTGAGGAATAAAAACTCACACTCTGGGGCAGGCATTTGGTCCAACAGTTAAGGTGCCAGGCAGGATGATCACATCCAAATCATGGTCCCTGGGTTTGATACCAAGTTCTGATCCTGATTTAACATCCTATAATCCAAACACTTGGAGGCTTAAGTAATTGATTTCCTGGATCCCAGTATTTGCCCAGATCCAGAGCCAAAATAAAGATTTGGAGAGAGAATCACACTGGATTAGCTCCATCTCTGCTTCTCAAGTCTATGCATGAATAAATAGATTTTAATAACCATTGAAGAACTATCCATTCTGAATATTCATACAATAACATCTTCTTGCTAAGTAGGTCATTCTCTATTCCTGGTGCAGGCACAGCAGAGCCTGGGGACTCTTGAATCATGGCTCATGAGAATGTAGGGACACACAGTTGAGTAACTGCCAGTGATTAGAGCAGAGAGGTTCACCAGCCACAGACTGTGATTGTTTAAAACACTCAAGCAAATGTGAAGGATGGAGGAGAAAATGCAAAATAACACAAAGAAGCTCACCAGGACAAGGATGCTGTGAGTTGCTCTGGACTCTGGGGAGGACCTGGAGGAGACATTGGTTCTATGGATGTATTGGACCTGCTGCTTGTGCCTGTACAGGATGAAAACCATGTAGCCACTGGACCACAGCATGAAGCCCACAAAAAGAACATTTTGTAAAAATACTACAGCTGCATACAGGGACTCCATGAATTTTCCAGAATGCAAAGAAGCACAGTACACATGATCAACTTTCTCTGTGATATTTTTGCCAGTTTTTCTCTCAGTTACATACAGAGGTACCATGATATTTAGTATGAAGTTCAGTATCCAGAAAAGTATAATAAAAGGGCCAATGCATTTGGGAGCCTTTGCTTTAAATTCTGCCCACCTGGGGTTCTCAGGACTGATGATGATGGCCTGGAAGATGCTCAGGAGGCAGGTGTTGCAGGTGGTCACATCCCTGCTCACTCTGTACACATAGAACACAAGCTTGCACCCAGCATCACTGAGGAAATCCTTCATCCCCAAAGCTGCCATGGTTTGGGGAACTCCTTTGATGAGAATGACTAAGCAGTTGACTACAGTCAGGTGTTTGATGATCAAATCTGTGGGCCTGAACTTGCATCCTGTGAAGTAGAGATAGAGATAATGGGAAAGAAGAGAGAGATTTCCCAGGATTCCTGTAATAGTTCGTGATAAGAAGATCATCCCCATTATCAAATCTCCGGTGGCCATCCCATCGGCTCCCCATGTCTGATTATTGTCGCTGAGCCTGAGATTCCTGTATGGGAAATGAGGCATGAGCTCCTTGTGTTAATATGAACTAAAATTCAGCTTCCTTATTTACATTATTTCCGCTCACATCAGTTCACACCTAATATTTGAGGTGAATGGGTCATCTTTAGAGCTACTTAACTAATTATTGGTTTAGAGACACAAGTAGTGATTCCAGTATTCATCATTTCTCAATGAGAAGGCAGCCAGATTCATTACATTGGTTATAAAATTATTATGCAGGATGATATGGACTAGTGATTCATCTAGATGTATACTCTGTATTTTATGTGCTAATGGGATGTTGAGCCAACTGGGCTTGTACAAAAAGAGCTACATTAACCACGGTGTTATTCTAACATAGCTACTTAGCTGTGTTCTCCAAATAACACATATTTGTACTCACTTTTTTTCGTGACTTACCAATTTCTCTTAGACTACTGGTAACTTGTCTTGCCATTTTGTTTGCACCAGTTTACCTTCTTGCATAAAAATTTACTACATAATACAACATCAGTAATGTCTAAATATTAGTTGCTCTATTAACATGCAGATAACCTTATTGTAGTATAATTTCTAGGGCCTTCCTATTTGGAAAATTGTGTGTATTTCAAATTTGAGTGTAGAAGTCAATAGAAACACTATTTTATACCAGGAAAAAAGTAACATATGAGTACTGAATATATATTGTCCCCTACACTACAGGACTTAATACACAGTGAAATTGTGTATTGTAGAAACTGAATATTACTACGTTTGTTTATTTATATCTTTACTAATACTTACATGAAAGCTTTTTTCATAAAGGAGAGGACTATGAAAGGTGTAGAAGTATAAAGCATCTATCACACAGATCCCTAAGGTCAGATCATGTGCATTTTATCATTTGGTATTGTGGAGCTTCCAGTTGAGATGAAATATTTTCACTCCAGAGAAATTCTGGAGAAACATTTTCAGCTGAAAGCTGCCATATGCAACCAATCATGCCAGGATAACATTGCCTTTCCTTAAACAGGCTCCCATTACTAAACAAGGAGGGACCCACGCTATGGCATAGGGGGTACAGCTGCAGCCCACAATGCCAGCATCACATATGGGTGATGGTTCTATTCTCAGCTACTTCTCTTCCAATCCAGCTCTCTGCTATGGCCTGGGAAAGCAGTGGAAGATGGCTCAAGTGTTTGGGCCCCTACAACAATGAGGAAAATCTGAAAGAAGCTCCTGATTCTTGTCTGCAGATCGACCCAGCTCTGGCCATTGTGGCATTTGGGATATGAACAAGTGGTTGGAACACCTCTCTGTCTTACGTACTTGCTCTCTGCCTCTACCTCTCTGTAACTCTGCCTTCGAATCTTACCATAATTAAGTAATGATGTGTGTTTTCAGTAGGCATCAATTAGTATCTCTATTCAGTATTTAATACAGCAGAGTAGAGAAAACCTTTCTATTCCAGGAATAGCCACTGGAATTCCCTTTATAAGTCAAGGTTCTGAATTTTTGTAGGACTTTCCTATTCCACGTCAAGTTGCAGTGCTTCTCTGCTAAGTGACTCCTATAGCATAGACTAAACAGATTTCATGATTATTTTCATTAAACACTAAGAGCCTTTCACACAACACCAAATTCCAGGGAGTGCTGTAGGGTGTATGACCCACCTCCATATGCCAGCTCAGCACACATCTCAGAATCCTTCTTCCTTCCTGTGAGGCTGGGGCACAGGACCAGGTGAAAACATAGGAGGATCCTCTTGCTCACTTACCCAGACTCCAGATAAGACTCCTTGCTTGAAACATCTCTCTTTCATGCTGACATAGAAATTGTCCAGCTTCTTTAAGTGCTGGGATAAGCACCTGCCTGAAGGTCACCACAGGCAGAACCGAGTGGCACAGAGGCAGCGGGGCCACTACAAAAAGTGTGTGACTGTGACCTCACCTCCCTGCAGAGCTGCAATTATCTGTTCACCAGCAGCTGCACTGAAAGTGCAAATTGGGGTACTGAGCATGATTGTGAAAACTTTTCCCTTCTCGCTCATTACCAAAAGCAATCATAACTTCATAGTTACCATCTCCAAGGAGGCTGTGAAAGTCTTGCAAAGTGGCCCTTTCTTTCTTTTGACCCATGAGGCAGAGAGTCTGACCCTAAGGGAGCAGATCCTGAGTCTGACATGGGAGGGCTGGCAGTGAAAATTTTGCATCTCCCTGGATTCATATATGATTTCTTCTGCCCCAGAGTGATTTCTTTCCCAAACTTCAGACCACTAAGCTCAGCCTCATTGATGTGATGAGCAGAGCAGTGGGGAGAATGCTCCTGAGAAAGGTTTTCAGAGACCCAGGTGCAATGGAGAACATGATGACCATAGTTTACATGAAAAGTCACTGCACTTGTCCGACGTTCAATGACAACTTATTTGGTTTTTAAAAGGATATGAAAGTCTTAAGATCCTTCTTTACCAGTGTTCTCTCTTATTTGTCATCTCCAGTAGCTACAGGAAGCTAATGAATAGTATCTGTAGACACACAGATGTTTCTGAGTCCTCATCCATGAAACCATGATGAAATAGGCAGAGCTCTAAGTCCTTCAATTGTTACGTACTCAATTCAACAGAATTGAATATTTATCATTGCTTTTTTCCTATTTCTCTTTTCTGATTAATTTTAGTGCCCTTCATTGATTTTCTTATTGATTAGAAATACAAAATGTGAGTTGAAAGTTCTTTGTTGGCTGTTTCTTTTAACAAATCCACTATTTTTCCCAAGTCCACTTTATCATTCCCAAATTTCCAAACTAGGGCTTGTAATGACAGATATCACTTAGACTGTTTGTTGGGTCCCTGTGCTCAGTGGTAGACAGTGGAGCCAGGATTCCCTACCTGGCATTTGTATGTCTTGACCTGTTCTGTACCCTAATCTGACAGGATACAAATCCCTTTCTTGTAATATAAATGAAATAGAATATGTGGTTTTTAAGAGAATTAAACATAGCATTGCAAATTTTAAGTTCTAAAATACTTTTTTGCTTTTCCCTTACCAATTCTTACAGAATAGAAAGGTGGTAATATGGATATATTGACAGCTTGATTAAAAATCTACTTTTC